ATAATATATATATATATATATATATATATATATATATATATATATATATATATATATATATATATATATATATATATATATATATATATATATATATATATATATATATATATATATATATATATATATATATATATATATATATATATATATATATATATATATAAAACTTTTTTTATTTAACTACTTTTTAAGTTTATTTTTGTACTATTAAATAATTTAAAAAACATAAACATATTTTGATTGATATGCTTTAATAGAAATTATAAGAAGAATAAAAATCCTTAAGTGAAAACTACATAAAAGATTGACAATCAATGACTGTAAACAGGAACCGACGCTGGATACTTAAAAAGTCATGCTATACCTTTGGAAAGTTGGTTTAATGGGAAACCATTTGTCTTTTTAAAAGGAAATGACTTAAAGCTTAAATCCGAAAACATATTTCTTAGAATATTGTAAAAATTATTTGACTGAGTTAAAGAACAATCAAATATTGAATAGAAAAATTTTATCTGGCAAATCACAAGGTTTTTCTCCGATTGGATTGTTAAAAGATTAAATAAAATGTGTGTCAAAAACTAATACCTAATGGTGCACAAACTGAGGAAAAAAACTTAGTATTAGTGGCATAACTTTGACAATCCATTTTGGTGGTTATTGTCCCTAAAGGGGATTAATAGTTAAGTAAATTATAAATTAATCAATTGGCTTTTATATTATTTTTTTTGTAAACCTAATAAATAGGAAGATAACACATAATTCAGGTAGATTTTGTTTTCATTTTTTCTCCCAATAATAAGTAAAACTTTGAGATCTTATATTGAAAAGTATGACCATTCGAATAATTATGGATGGTAGTGTATATATTGATGAGTTAATTCTAAAACATTACCCAAATTTGGGCTATATTGAGTTATGAATGTTGAAATGTTGATCTCTGCGCCCTCTACCAAATTATAGGGAGTGGAGGATATATATATATATATATATATATATATATATATATATATATATATATATATATATATATATATATATATATATATATATATATGTATATATACATATAAATATATATATATATATATATATATATTCATATTATATATTTTATATTAAATATATGTTATATATATATATATATATATATATATATATATATATATATTTATGTATATATATATATATTTTTGTATATATATATATATATATATATATATATATATATATATATATATATATATATATATATATATATATATATATATGTATATATATATATATATATATATACATATATATATATATATATATATATATATATATATATATATATATATATATATATATATATATATATATATATATATATATATATATATATATAGCTCATTTTTCACTTCAACAATTTATAACTTTTCTATTATTTATGTTTATTCTGAGCCCTTATTTGATTCCATCTTTCCAACACTGGAGTCTTAGAATTAACTCTTTTTCTATCTTTGCCATTAAGCTTGAATTGTTTGCATCCACAGTAAACCATAAATAAACTCTTTAGAGAGAGCTTTAGTTTATAAACAAAAAGAAAAGGACTGATTACTGAACTTTCATGCTCACAAAACTTTACCTTAAAAGGTTTATTTCTTAATACATTTTCTATTTTCTATTTTGATCACTGTTGATAACTGCTACCAGCCATACCTTGGCATCTTTTTTAAAATATTCATTAGAACTTTTATTTCATAGAACTTGCTTTTCAATAATTATTGGATTAATTGTTCCTTTTCTTTGCCTAAAACTAAATTGCATGTTGTTAATAAACTAAATTGTATGTTGTTAATAAACTAAATTGCATGTTGTTAATAAACTAAATTGCATGTTGTTAATAAACTAAATTGCATGTTGTTAATAAACTAAATTGCATGTTGTTAATAAACTAAATTGCATGTTGTTAATAAACTAAATTGCATGTTGTTAATAAACTAAACTGCATGCTGTTAATAAAATAAATTGCTAAGTTAATTACTTGTTGTTGATAAAGACACTGCCTCTTATTTTGTTGGCATTAATTCTTTCTTAAATTTTATTACCTAATCAAGTGATTTTGTTTCACAACATGAACCTAATTTTAATGCATTTATACCTCCCATAAAAATCTTACTACTACCCAAAATTTCTTCCAATTACTTTTAGGATTTTACCTTCATGTACAACTGCATTGCTCTGCCTTATACACACATACACACACTCATGACACACACACATATACACACACATACACACACACATATACACATACATTATATATAACGTATGATTAAAAATTAGGACAAAATTAAAAATTGTGTAAATTTAACAGACTGATCATTATTTTTAACAGAATGATTTTTATGCTATGGCAACAAATGGTTACCACTGTTGGTTTTCTTGGTTGAACACTATTTATATATTTAAATTTATCTTAATTTTCAATTTGCTTGTTTTTGTTTATCATTCTTTTAAATTCAAATTAAAAATCTTTAATTAAGCGTAATTCTGGCCCAAGGCTTATGCTCTTTTTTTTCATTTATGCTTTATGTGAATAATGGTGATGAAGCAAGAAATTGTATTACAATTTTTATGATATAAAAGCAATTTCTCTAAACTGACATTATACTTTAAAATATACACATTGTTATTAACTGCTAGGCCTGATGGAGTAATCTAATGCTTAGATTATTCTTTTGTTGAGAATGCAATCCAAATGAGTAATTTTGACTTATATTTGTCTTTTCTTTTCAATCTTACATCATTTGATGCTGCATTTATTTCATAAAAAATAGGAATTAGCCTTTCCAGAAATACTGGTGTTGCTCAAATAAAAATAAGATTCATTGTCAATAATAACTAATTTTTCTGATAAATTTAAATCATTGTATGGCATTTCAAATGAACAGCTGTTTTTTGTGTAGGTTTTCTTTTTTGTGTTTCTTTTTAGTTTTGTGTAGGTGCTCTTTTTTGTGTTTCTTTTTATTTTTTTTCATAATAATAGTTTAGTAATAATAGAATTTTTTTTGATTTTTTCTTTCATGTTTTAAATGATAATTTAAAACTTGAAAAACTTTTCTTTGATCAATCAATTTTTTAAGATGATGTCTGATTTGTAGACATCTTATTTGCAATGCAATCACTTCCAACTTTTCTTTTTTGTTTTATGTTGTTTTTCTTTTTTTTTAGAATATTAAACATAGTAGATTTTAGTTCTCTATTTGAAAATTATTGAAAATAATGTATTTATTCTATTTGGATGCAAATTTGATAATGGGTACACTTCATTTTTAAGCAAATTATTGTTATAAACCTTGTTTTTGTTTTAAATAAAAACTAAATAAATTTTTTTTTATTAATACATATAAACCATATAAAACAATATTATTTTTACTTGTTATTTTTTCATTTAGAATTCCTTTTTTGCATAATAGCATTATTGGTCCCATTTATTCCAGTTCTGTGTGAAATATTACAGTAGTTGAGTCTTCCTATAACTTAGTTTTTGGAATAAATTCATTTCTGAATTAAAATTAAAATATGAACATTCATTTCTGATGAGTCTTTATTGATAAAATACTGTGTGAAATAAAAAAGTTTGATAAGAAATTTTTCTACTAAATACATAGATTAGTAATATAAATACTTATCAAACTGCATCTGTTTATTTACAGAAAAAGAAACTGAAAATTATAGATAAAAATCAGATAAGTATTTTTTTACTAATATAATACTGTTCTGTTCTTTAGGAACATTAAGAACTCCTTTTTTAGAATACACTAACACATTTTATATATTTATAAGTTTGGACTAATTCTTTAATACCTAAATAATGTATCAAAAAACCAGCATTAAACTCCTATTTATTTTAATACTGAATATTTCCTGTTGTTTTAATACTGACCAAAATAAATTTGATATATCGAAATGGTATATCAAACTCAGAAAAACCATTACATAAAATGAAAACCTCACAGGTGTATTGTCATTATGCAGTAGAAAAATGTGAAATAGAATTATCTAAAAATAAGCTTAAAAAAACACTGTATTATAAATGCTTATACTTACATATTTTGCGTATCTTATACTGTATTTTTTTAGCTATAATTTCTATAGTAAATTGTTTTATTAATTATTTTGGAATAAAAACTACTATTACAATAAGTTAGTATATCTAAAAAAAATTTTATTTTAGTATTCTTCCTTATGTTGGTTTGGGAAATAGTGGACCCACTAAAGTTATAAAAGCAGCAAGAGTTTTAAGGCCATTAAAGATTGTTTCTGGAGTACCTAGTAGGTTTTATTTTCATTTTAAAAAAATAATAAGGAAATGTATACTGCTATGATAATAATATTTAAAACTGTTTTGTATATTGGAATTCCCTTAATTTAAAAAATAAATTTAACTCTTATTTTATTATCTAAAAAAAATTAAAAAAAAAAATAATTTTGTTAAATGTTTTTTTTTTTTTTGAAGATTATTTGATGTAAATAGTTATTTAATTTGTTGTTATTTTATCAACTTTTTTGTCAATTAATTTCTAATTGTTAATTATTGTTGTTTTATAAATAATCCCATCATCAGACATATTTTTAATATAATATTTATATAATATATTTTATATTTTAAAAAAATCATAAGTTAAGAATGTAAAAATAAATTGGCTTCTAAAACATTTTATCAACATATTGTCTATTGTCAAGATTATCATTGGATAGCGAGATCATGGTACTGAATCTCTATCTCTTTTTTTACTTTTTTTTTTTATATTTATTTGAAAAAAATGGTTTTAGTATTTGCTTCAATTAGATTCTAGTTTATACTTGTCTTTCACTTTTTTACTCCAGAAGAATCTCATAATTACAATAATATGATTTATCATCAATAATATGATAAATCATATTATTGATGATATCAGATTTATAACTTATTTTTATTTGTCTCAATATTAAGCTATTTAAAAACTAAGCTTGAAGATTAATTCATTGATAATAAGATAAATAATAATAAAAGTAATAATTGATAATAAGTTCATGATAAGTTGCTTGATAATAAGTTCATGATAAGTTGCTTGATAATAAGTTCATGATAAGTTGCTTGATAATAAGTTCATGATAAGTTGCTTTACATAATAGTATGTAGTTCTGTTTTTTTTTGCTATGTAATGTTATATAGATATAATAACCAACTGATCATGTTACAAACTGTTACCGTTGCATAGTACCCTCTATAGATCATGGCATCACAAAGAGGAGGACACAATCAATGCAATATCCAATAAGTGCCTTGAGACCAATACCCCATGGTGAAGGTCTTCCTGTGTCAAACCCACCAACCAACATACCAACTGAGTTTAGTGATGATGACAATGTCAATGACAACGTAGAAGCTTCAAAGGCTTGAACTTCAGAAGATATAACATTTCTATGTACTGCAGTTGACAATGATCCACATCAAATCTCTCAAAATGAACTTAATTATCTGGTTCGAGATTTAGAACTATCTAAGAATAAGGCTCAGCTATTATGACCCAGATTGCAAGAGCGGAATCTACTTCTAGATAATAAGTGTATTTTGCTGAAGACACAGTCAGTTTGAACCGTATTTTTTAATGGCAAAACAAATTATCTATTTTCATAATGTGGCTGGTTTAATGGATAAACTAAAGATTCAGTATGCTAATGAAAAATGGAGACTGTTTATAGACTCATCAAAGATAAGTCTCAAGGCTGTACTCCTACACAATGGAAACACTATACCATCAGTTCCGAATTCTCATCCTGCTGGATTGAAGGAAACATGAAAATATGAAGCTAGTCCTAGTCAAGATCAAGTATGAAGAACAATGGAAACAGATTTTTGGTGACTTAAAAGTTGTAGCACTTATTCTAGAATTGCAGCTCGATTACACAAATTTCTGTTGCTTTCTCTGTGAGTGGGATAGTCAAAAGAAGGCGGATCATTACATCAAGTGGGAACGGTCTAAGAGACAATCCTTAGAACCTTGCGTCAAGAATGTAATTCATGTAGCACTTGTTAAGCGCAGTAAATTTCTCCTTTCACCTCTACATATAAAACGTGGCCTGATCAAATTGTGTAAAGACCCTTGATCAAGATGCCAGCATTTAAATATTTGATTTCCAAGTTCCCTAAGTGAAAGCCTATAATTAAGAAAGGTGTATTTGTAGGCCCACACATATGTGAACAAATGGTGAACATTCAGTTTGATATGACACTTAAAGGAGATAAGAAGACTACCTAGGAGAGTTTTAAATAGATGGTGAGGAATTTCTTGGGAAACCACAGAGCTCATATTTACCATGAAATTGTTGAGAGTCTATTGAATTCATATCATATGGTCTGCAATGTGTCATTAAAACTACACTTTCTACACAGTCATATGGACTTCTTCCCTTCCAACTGTGCTGATGTGAGCAATGAACATGGTGAACGCTTTCATTAGGAGATGGCTGAGATGGAAAAGTGGTACCAGGGTTAATGGAACACCTTAATACTAGCAGGTTACTGATGGAAAGTAAAAAGAGAATGTTCAGAAACTGTGTACAAGCAAGCATATAAACACCCAAGTGTGTCTATTGTGAAATAATTAGACTTTTTCTATTGTAATCTATGTGTAATACAGGCATAAACATAATGAGTTGTATCGATACATTGCATAAATACAAGAGCTTACACAGCAATGTCAATATGATATTTGAACTCTACGTGAAAAACTGCACCAAAAAAATATAAAATGTTGTCCAGTGTAATAAGTTAAAATTTGATAAAGGAAAATTAACAGATTTTAAAATTGTGAGTTTCATTACAATGTTGGTGTCAAACAAGGTAAAAGTTACTCTCAAGTTATAAATAAATATAAAGTTGAAAGGGCTTTTTAAAATTGTTCTAAAATGTCGAGAGGAACAAAGATGGTCATATGTTTTTGAGTTCAGCAAAAATAATTTCTTGGTAATGAACTTAAAAAGATTATTAGTTTAAAATTGATTATTAGTTTAAATAAATTTTGATAAGTAATTGTATTGTATCTTGTATGAATAAGTAGTTATATTTTTAATTTTTTTTTTATGGGAAACATTCAATACTAATTTTATTTATTATTATTATTTGTGATATTTTGAGATTATATAAACAATCACATTATCAGACAATAATGTTTAAATATTTTTATAATTGTTAAAAAATTTTTATTTTTACTTTTACAAAATTGTTTAAAAAATAAAAAACAGAAAAAAAATTTTTTTAACTTGCAAAAAATGTATAAATGGTTTCCAAAACTTGTTAAAAACATATTAGCTGTTGTTTCAATTCATGCGTATAAGATGACATAGTTCTAATTGATGGCGTTGAAGGCCTCATTTTTTTTTTTCAAATTTTTTGTGAGATAAAGCCACTATTTTTATAATACCCCAGTTTGTTGATAATTGACACAGTTTTTAATAGTTTGGTATTCTAGAAGATATTCCATTTTTTATTCCATTGATGTTCTAGAGGATATTCCAATTTGATACTCTATATTCTGTTTATAATCTTAAATTGATTTCTTATGTTGTAATACTCCTGTTGAATTTTTAAAACCCTTTATGCCTATTTATAATTTTCCACAACTGCATCTGACTTTATAAACACCTAATTGGCTCAAATATGGTAGTTTTTTATTTCTAGATGTTAAGATTAACTTTAAATTTAAAAACGGTTTAATAACTAGCATTTCCATAAATTTTTCAAAGTTTAGAACTTACACCAGGCATCCATGGTAACATGATGATAGTCTGGTTAGTCAGTGAATTATTTTTATTTTTTTCTTGAAATAATGATTTCAATATTTTTTCTCATTATTTCATACCTATTCTAAGTAAACTCCTGATCTAGGCTGTTTCTTGGCTGCAAATTTTTTAAGCTCTATCTATAAAACCGGTCTAAGCGCTATCTAGAATTTTTGGATGGTTTTTGGCTTAACTTACAAATAAGTAATAGCACTTTTATGATTGAATTCATGTTGTCCATTTTTATTGTTAATGATATTTATATCTAAAAAATTTAAAAGTTTGTTTACATCTTGTAAACAAACTTTTAAATTTTGTTTGTTTTGCTCTATTCTGTATTTAAGATAAGGATCCTGTACATTAAGAATATTAAAATATATCTTAAAATGGTTTTGCATTAGTATTTTTAAATGCAATAGAAATCGATCTAGATTCATGATATTGTTAATGTTCCTCAGATACAACAACCATTGAAGCAAGGCCAATAGGTTTATTAGACAAGTGAGGCCAATAGATCCAGAATTTTCTAGTTTTCAAAAGAAAATAATAGTCTTAAGTACATGTAAATTCAAACAACAAAGTTTTAAAGTTTGTTGTTAAATTAAGTTTCATTTATTTGAAGTTTTTTTTTCAGTTAAAGTACCATCATTACAAATCTCAATAGCTTTTTTAATTGTTACACTTGTACAATTGGTATACAATTTTTCAATATCATAAGAAGAACTTTTTTCAACATCATTTAAACTTCAAACAGAAACATGTTCCAAGTCTTGGTTTTTTTAACTAAGTCATAAAAAATTTTATTAACTTTGTTTGTACTATAAAACCTCATAACTTTTGGTTTATTGTGTTTTTATTGTGTACGTACATAGGAGTAGGTAAAGGTCTCTAAGCACAACTTGAAATTTGCATGTAATTTTTTAAATTATAATTTAAAAAATTACAAGCAAATTTTTTTAAAACTAAAGTTAAATACAAAAATAATTCCGGATCTACCAGAATTATTTTTGCATTTCCAATTTGCTCAACTATTTTTTGGAGAGAATCTGCAGTTTTATTTCTTTTATAGACTTTTTATAGATGGAAAAAAACACAAAAAACTAACAGTTCTATTTGTGTTAATAAGGTTAATATATATATTAAAAGTTCAGTACCAGAGATAACCCACTGTTAATAATGATGGTAGCTCTCTCTTCAGAAATTATTGAAGATATGGAAATTATTCAAAAGGAAAACTGATCAAAACTTGGATCAGGAAGCCATAGCAAATTAATTAGACATTATATTCTTGGTGTGGAAAAATAACATTGCTAGTTTCGTCTTTTATTACAAGAAAAGATTCCTTAGAAGCAGAAAAGTTATAAAAATGTAGTGCTGTACCAGTTATAAGTAAGTTATATTCTGAAGTTATTAAATCAAGCTCGCAAAAAAATGTACATTCTCATTACTGTCTCATTATTCTTGTTGCAGCAGATATTGATGACAGAAAAACACGTACATCCAAGGTT